TTTTTATCAGATAAAAATAAAAAGGTTGATGCCTGTTCTATGAAGTCAGACTGCTTTCCATTCAGTACCACCTACTAGTGTACAATCAAGATGTTCCATTTGTTTTCATTTTAACTTTTAATACAGCACTTTATCAACACATACACAAGGGGTATTTATTGTGTCTATTACAATGAACATAAGATTGCTTGTCACACCTCAGTGCTTCTAAACTGTGGTTCTAGAATGGTTCTGCATTGTCACAATTGAAGTAACTAAAGCAGGTCATATCTATTTATAGCTTTATGCCCTGTTAACATCAACAAGCATGTTTGGCAACCTGTCAAGCAAAAACCTTTGACTTATGCATTATCAGAAACTCACCACCTAACCTTGTGATAAACTCTCAGAAACATTAGAGGCATTTATAGTTTACTGTATACTTATCTGTGCCTGTTCAAGTAAATCTGATAATTTCATTTGATAGAGATGGTTACAGATGGATAGCTTTTGAAAAAATGTGAGCATATCATGACATTGCAATGTTTGAGTCCCGTTTGCTAGGTTATACACATTCAATTAGCTTTGGTTCATTGGTTCTGGAGGCCCTGAACTGTCTAGTTTACATGGTTCCTTAACAAAATGTTGTAATATTGCATGCTGGTAACTTTCCAACAATCAATGGATTTGAAAAGAATCTGGGAAAAGTACTTACTGCACAAATATGTAATATCGATTTTAAAGCTCCAGAGGTTTTCTGGTATCTGCACAGCTGCTTTGGAGGACAAGCTGAGCATGAAAGGTAGCAGTATATAAATCCAGTATATTTGGTCACCAAACTTGTATGTGCTTATTAACTTCAAAACCGTTGGCATTGATGGGGGTTAAACTGTGTTACATGAGAATCTTAATGCATCTTGAATCTTGTAACGTAATACAAATTAGATTAGTTTTAGTGGTATCCCTAAGGGGCAGTTCCTATGTCATTTTTGGCCAACAGTTGCTGACAGGTCTCACCGCCACAAAATTAACTCACATTCTTCTTGCAAGCTAATCTTGGTGTCCTGTATAGAGAGACACCATCATATGCAGATACACTGTCCTGCACCCTCCTCCACTTAAGTTCCTCCACCAGCTTCCCAGACTAGACTAACAGTGTATCTAACACATGCCCAGAAGCCTGCTCTAATCCCACATTCAAGTATCGAGGCAGCGTAAAAACTCATACCTACAAAGAAGACATAGTGTTACAAGTATGAGCAACTTTGGGTACCACAAACAGCTTGGCAAGTACGAGGACATCGATGAAGATGAACTTCTGGCCTCCCTGACTAATGAGGAAATCCAGGAGCTGGAGAAGGTTATGGCTGAAATTGAACCTGATATGAACATACCCACTGGGCTAAGGCAAGAGGACCAGACGGCCAAGCAGCCAACGGGCACTTTTAGCCGAGAGGCTCTGCTGAAGTACTGGGAGGATGAGACTCATAGATTGCTAGAGGTAGGGTCTATATACAGAAATTGAGTGATATTCCAAACTTTGATGCACCAGTTGCATTCCATTTGTTTTTTCTTGACACAAATGTTAGAGCTTGCCACTGGGGTGGTACCCTTAAAAGACACCCTTCATGGTTAAGTAAGGTACAAAGGTGTACCTTTGTAGGGTACTGCTCAAGTGACAAGATACTGTACCCCTATAAGTACTATTTAAGGTATTCTGAAAGTGTAGTCATATCCACATAACAAGAGCACAATTATTTGTATGGGGGTCAGGTTAGGCTTTCTCTTTGGTAAACCACAATCCATGGAAATCTCAGGTCTCCACAAGGAGTTTTCTAGCTTGGGGACAAGAAGGTCTGCAGCTTCATTAAGGGATTAAAAATTTATTTAAATTTATAATTAAGTCTAAAGTTTCTGCGAGTAGTTCATTTGAGGCAGGCGTTTCCAATACTCACTTGTGGAAGGTCACCACTTTGCGGAATTTAGCTTCAACCTGCTCCAACAGTTGTAATTCCTCAGAGATTCCGAGTCGGAACTCCGACTTGGGAGGGCGTTCCAGTTAAAAATTCCTACTGGGAACTTGGAACTTCCAACCTCAGAGTACAAATGGAACGCAGCATAAGAACTGGATGTACTTGATTTCAGGGTACAATTAAGGGAGGACTGTCAAACACAGCTTCTGGAGGGCCACTGTCTTGAAGATTTTTACCCCTGAGTTATGGATAGCTTTGGTTAGCTTAGCTTATAAACACTGAAAGTCAACGAGAAGTTCCTAATTTTATATAAAACTACACTATATTAAATAAAAATTCAATTTCTTCAAAGAGAGTTTCGAAGACTGTAACATTGCTTCCACAGAACATAGTTATTGCTCAGCTGGTGTCTCAGCTGGTGATATCTTTCTTAATTAAGCATCATTGCTTGAGGTATGCCAGAGCTCAACCTTGTTTTCCTTTCTATGGTGACACACAGGACAGCATGGATGAGTGCCAGACAGATAAGAGTGAAGAGGAATGTGGCAGTGAAGAGCCTGAGGATAATGAAGAGGAGGGAGAGCAACAAAACTGGGGGCTCAGAACAGGGGGTGATGGGGAGAAAGAAGCTAGGTCAAGCAAGTGGAATTTTGTGGACTTGTCCCAATTAGATTGCAAGAGGAATGGCAACATCGGTCAAAAACCTAAAGGCATCCATAAAAGTGCCCTTCATCATCACGTTACAGAGAGGCCAAGTGGTAATCCCACTGATATTGTAAAGACCTTGGAAAACATCTCGAGTAACGACACCTCCTTGAGCGAAGTCAACCTAAACAACATTGAGAACATATCCCAAGAGGTTTTGGTGAGCTTTGCTGAAGCAGTAATTACCAACACTCATGTTGAGGTTTTTAGCCTTGCCAACACCCATGCGGATGATCAAGTAGCTTTTGCCTTGGCCAAAATGCTGAAGAAGAACTGCAGCATCACCAACCTTAATGTTGAGTCCAACTTCATTTCAGGCAAAGGTATTCTGGCTTTGATTGGATCACTTCAGTACAACACAACACTAGTGGAGCTCCGATTCCACAACCAGCGGCACATCTGTGGAGGCCAAGTAGAGATGGAAATGGTGAAATTGCTAAGGGACAACACCACCCTGTTAAAACTGGGATACCACTTTGACTTACCTGGCCCAAGGATGAGCGCAACCGGTATTTTAACCCGCAACCAGGACCGCCAGAGGCAAATGCGGCTGCAACAAAGAAGTGAGACGCAATCAAAGACATGTGACACTGTGGACAATACGCAGACCCTTCAGTTCCAGATTTCAACAGATAAAGATGCTACACAAGGGAAGCAGCCCTCAGTCTCTTCTCATTCACCAAAACAACCTCACAGTCAACCAAAAGTTGTGAACAATGTTCCAACTAGAAAAATCGCTGAAATGGTCAAGCAGCAAGAAGAAACAGCAATAGAAAGTTTTGAGACTAATGCAAATAAAGGACACAAACTCACAGGGGACAAACATACCAAGAACATGTTTCAAAATGAAAAACCAGTACCTTTGAGAAGAGAAGATGAAAGAAAGAGTCTGGGAGGAACCCAGGGGTCAACGCGTGATGATCTACTGGCAGCTATACGTAGAAGCAGCATTGGTACACTACGAAGGGTAAGACCTTTAGAATTTGTCCAAGACATAAAGTTGGTAAGCCTTAAAAACACAGTGCCCAAATTTGTAATTCACTCAAACAATATTACTGGCCAGTAGGGATGTAACTATTCACTCAACTCACGATTTGATTCGATTCACGATTCAATTTATTCTTTACAAAATGAGATTTAAGACAAATTATAAATTAAATGTGTCCTTTTATTATTGCTTGGACAAAATACTGTACGTTTCTTTGTGAAATTGAAATATAACACTATAATAATATACTAATATAGCACTTGTAAATGATTGCTCTTTTGATTGCTTCTATTGTCCTCATTTGTAAGTCGCTTTGGATAATTTAAATCGATTTTCAACCGGCTCGCGGTTAATCGTTACATCTGAACTAAGGTGTTTGGTAAACACCAACCCTGCCAAATCAGGTTTCCTGGGAATCGATTGTACGACTTTAAGCAATAATTACCTTTTTATACCAAGAACTGAATTATTCATTCAGTGGTTGTTTTGATTAAGATCATTTAAGTTACCATTAAATCATTATTAAGTGGAAAACGGATAAATTCTAGTTCAAATTTAATAGATGGAAAGTTTAGTTTTGCCGCAATAACAATGATGTCGCCAAGTTGTACTTGCCATTAAGAGTAAAAACATGCTTTTATTTGAGGGCTTCAAAAAGCATTCATAATTTCAAGTTATCAATAAAAGTAAATAAAAATTTTAAAGGGATAGACGATGCAAATTTTTTTTTTACTCATGCTCATGCCATTTCATACCTGACATACACACATATATGTGGGTGAACAATCCTGTTTTGATCTTGAGACATTAGTATCCTTTGTGACTATTACTTAATGCTTCTGCCATGTATACTACATACAATATATGTGGCAGTTTTAACATTACATTGACTAGCGTTTTCTTCTTTTTCTTGCAGGTCACCAATAATCATCATTCCTGATGTATAAAACGGCTCATATAAAATGAAACCGTAAAACAAATAACAGAAATGAAAACTTTTGTTCTCTTATCTGGCATTGAATCTGAAATACATACACATATTCAAACACAAGTGATTTTCCACCAACAAAATATTTTGCTCAATGAGTAGTTTCAACAACTGCTTTGTAACTTACATAATATGAGAAAGTTCAAATCCAAGAAGAAAATAGTTGATTTACTTTTAAAGCTGATTGCCATAATTCAGATTCCAAAGTATCTGTCATGCAACTAGTTGAGTTTGATCCAGTAATTTTAGCCATCAAAGATGCACAGGTATGCAAGCAGTATTTACATAAGTTGGTAAAGCTACAAGTTAAAATATACATGCATTGCAAAAATGTAGGTTACTACAAAGAAAAGCACCATATCTCAGGTTTGTAAATAATACCATTTATTTAAGTATAGAATTTAGTGTTTTCATTCCACATTTTCTTGTAAGATTTGATATCAATTATACAATTTTTCAGCACTATCCTTATAATACAAGGACAGCAAATTCAGTTCAGACAGACAATACTGTTAAACCAGCATTAACTGTACACAAAGGTTTGTTGTTGTTTTTTTTCCATTGCCTTAAATGTAGTTGTCAGTCAAGCATTGACCTGTAAAAGCGTCTAACAAATGGAAGTTAAATTTTTTTTTTTTTTGTGAAGTGCTTTTTTTCTTTTTTTTTTTCTTCTTTTTTTCTTGATATGACTGAAATTCTATATTTGTGAATTGATGGTTTTTCACATTCAGGAGCAAGCTGTACTCACAAATTTGCCAGTTTGAATCTACCGTATATTATTTTGTTGTTAATAAAGTGAAATCAAAAACTCTGAAAGAACTGTCTACTCTGTGACGTGCAATGTAGTGTGACGCTGATCGTGATTACCACAGAAATCATATTTAACGTGTTCAGCCAATGTGTTCTCATCCTGTAGTGAATTTCTTTTTCTTATTCGTGCAAAAATATATATAGCCTCAATATATCAGCCTGGTGTACATTTACAAGGGAAACAATAAAGGGGGCATACATATTCTGATAGGAGAACCGCTTACCAAATCTAAGAATGCTAAACTAGGATTTGAATAAGAAAATTGAAGGTACAGAAAAGTAGGGTATGAAAATAGTGTTATCTAAATCATTAATCAACAATTAATTAGGACATCGAGCGTCCCGTCCATCTCCCTTTCCCCACTCACAGGGGAACAAAAACATTCAGGTCAACAAATCATGAATCCTGGCATAAAACTTCACATGGTTATTCCAGGAGATTATTTTACAGAGGATAAATGACAATACTTTACAGATTACATGAGGTATTGCACAGATTATTAAAAAAAACAAAAAGCAAAAAGGCAACAAAAATATACAGCGATTTGAAAAAAACAAAAACAGAATGAGCGTAAAATTTGGGGAAGTGAGAATTTAGTATCATTTACTCTACTGGGTGGGCTTAGTGTTGCGGGATTAATCATCCCATTCGTCATCATCCTCAAAGTCTTCATCATCGTCATCATCCTCATCTTCATCTGAGGACCAAAGAAAATGCATAACCTCCGTAAATATCTCATAATTTACTGACAATACCATTAACGCACAAACTCTGAAAAATGAACCAAAGGATATTGGAGTATAAAAAATGCCCTTAACACATTAGCGTTTATCTACGTCAGAAAATACATTGATTTAAATGGGGATGTTGTGACTTAAGAATGAAGAGGAAAAAGTCATAATCTGTCATGTCACGAAAATAATCTTTTAAATTGGGTTTGTTATGTTATCTTAAAAACGTAACAGAGCATTTTTTAATATGTAAACTCGGTTGAACTGGATCAACAGCAGTCAAAGTGACGGGAAAAAAAAAACTAATTTGCAGTTGTTGAGTGGCCTGTTTTGAACAAACTTTTGAGAGACTGAAACAAGCACTTACCTGAGGAGTGGATGGCTTTGCTCCTCTTTTGCATCACCTCCATCAGAGCTCCAACAATGCCTGCTGACTGAGCAGGGGTGGGTGGTCCTGAGTCATTATCTGATACCTGAACATTCAAGAAGAAAACTATCAGACAATCATACAAAAATAATGGTTCCTAGAACATGCTACAATGTTAAGAGAGTATTTGGGGAATCGCACTACTGCTCCAAAGTTTTTTTTTTTTATATAATTGAATTCAGCAAGGATGCATTAAATTGATCAAAAGCAACAGTAATTTATATTTTTTAGAAACATTTATATAATCACAAAAGATGTCTATTTCAAATAAATGCTGTTCTTTTGAACTTTCTATTAAGCAAAGAATCCTAAAAACAAAAGTGTCACGGTTTTCCCAAAAATATTAAGCAGCACAACTGTTTTTAACATTGATAAAAGTAAGAAACGTTTCATGTGACGGCTGCTGTAAATTCAGCTTTGCATCGCAGAAATAAATTACATTTTAAAATATATTCAAATAGAAAGCAGTTTTTTTAAACCGTAGTAATATTTTTCAGTATTACTGTCTTTTACTGTATTTTTGATCAAATAAATCCATCCTTGGTGAGCATAAGGTGTCCCTTGTGATACATATATATATATACAGTGGGTACGGAAAGTATTCAGACCCCCTTCAATTTTTCACTCTTTGTTAGACAGACCCTGGATCACAAAACCAGTCATAAGTAGCACAGGTATATTTTCTTTTATGCCAAAAATCATTAGGATATTAAGTAAAGATCATGTTTCATGAAGATATTTTGTCAATTTCCTACTGTAAATATATTAAAACTTAATTTTTGATTAGTAATATGCATTGCTAAAAACGTCATATGGACAACTTTAAAGGCGATTTTCTCAGTATTTTGATTTTTTTGCACCCTCAGATTCCAGATTTTCAAATAGT